CCTATTGGGAAGTATCCACTTGTCATGTGGGAAGGTCTATGCAGGCCGTCACAGGTGTTATTTTGTTAATCGTATGTGAATTGACGTTATATATAATACGTAGAAAAATAAAAGTATTCAATTGAATTTTAACATAGTAATTATTAAGTTTATTATAAATAAATACATTAAACGTGTAAATTACGTTTATAAAAACTAAGTTTGTCGGTTTTATTAATTTCAAAGTGCCTTATATGTATATAAATAGTAATTATATATCGTAAAATACTTAACATATTTTTATTATTAATTGAAGCTAAATAATAGTAATTATTAATACGTAGTGGTTAATATGAAAATAAAATAAAAAATAAACGTGTACTGTAAAGAACTACGGGATATATTAAGCGGATATCGGAATATTGCTAAGGTGATTTATATCAATAAAAAATTCTATATTTTACCATTATAATTCACTTTGTTTATAGAAACATTCAATTTGAATTATTTACATTGATTTATTTACTACAGCTAGTAAAGAGTAATTCAATCTTCCAATATATTAAGCTATATTTATCCGATTATTTTATGGAAAATGATTAAATAAGTTAGTTTATAATATTTATGTAAAGCAATGCTAGGAAAAAAGTTCCTTTTTTAACATACGATACAACGATAATTATAAAAATAAAAAAGAAGTAAGATAAAGAAACTTACTGATTATTTATACGATAAAAAATTATCAAACGGTATTAATAATCTTTTTTATAAGTCGATAGGTTTTAATAGCGAACTGTTCCGAGATTAATTCAAGATATGATATATACTTATATGTTACGAATCAACGAACGGTGCGGCCTGATAGCAGACCTAGAAGGGACGATTGAAAACAGATTGACCAGAGAGTGGGGTGCTGATCAGTGGAGAGATCGGAGCAACGGAGCAACAGTACACAGATGACGCAACCAGCAGAGCCTGGGTCACGTGACTAAGAATTTGGAACACTAGATCACCATGGTGATCCAGTGAGCAGGATCACCTTGGATCACTGGTGATCCAGGGTGAGCCACCTAATTAGTGAGGGAGAGATTGGATGTATAAGGACAGACATTTCCCAACCAGATAGATAGACAGTCTCTACCTCAGTGATCAATTCAAGCATCTTAGCCAACCCTAAGGTGGGAGAAATCTCCTGACGACTCGACTACACAGTGAACCCAGTTCAGACCAAGCCCCAGTATCAGAGTGTCTTCTAGTTACAGAAGCCTCTATCGTTCTTTGTGTTGACTTACCTCAGAACATAAACCATATAAAACCTTTGAGCCTTGTAAGTTAGACGGCTCGTCACATTATAACGTATTAATTTAATGGTTTTTATTTATATTATTACATAGTACGACTTAAAAATATATTTGAAGGCTTTATAAATAAACTTTGAAAGCTTAAAATAATTTTACGTCAAAAGCTAGAAAATTTTAAACATATTTAAAAGATTAAACGTAAGTTTTTCTATCGTCGCACTAAAAAAAAGGGTTAACGAAATAAAGTACGTATATCAAATTGTTAATTCAATGTATAGCTTTTCATTAAATAATATTGAGGACATTTTATGTTACATGTATCGCGAATTATTATTAAGTAAAACTATTTTATAAAATCAGGATTCAAAAAAAAGATAGTTATAATTAATTTAAATTAATTTTAAAATATTAACGGTTACGTTATGTTCTTTTTTTACCATATTTCAAATTACGTAAAGATCGATATATATCTATAATATATTATATAAATATACATTAATGCTTATATAAGTATAACATTTATGGTATTAATTTAACGTTTATAAAAAGGTAAATTTTTTTAAATAGATACTGTAAGTTATACGTGCAAATGAGTAGAAGAAAAGTTATTATTGTTAGAAACTTATTCGAATTTTTTCGAACTTAATCGTATATTATTCAACGGACAAGAAATTAAATTAAACGATTATTTGTTTATGATAAAAACTCAGAAAATACTTAAAATAAAGGTGGTAAAATTGACTTGAAATAAAGCAATTCGGACGATAAAAAGTTGGTATTATAGAACAGCCTAAAAAAAAAGCTAATATTAAATAAATATATTAACGAGGTTTATCAATTTATATTAATATATTATTTAACTTTTAAAAAACAAGTTTATTTTATTAAAAATATATGTGCTTTATATTGAAATAAGTTATAAAAAGCTTATCAACTAAAAAAACTATTATTTTATTCAAAGCTAGTTAAACCCGTTAAATATTATGGAAAAGACCGTTTAAAAACTATAAATATGTAAATCTAATTATTACTTTAAATTTTATTATACGTATATTAAAGAATTTAATTAAAAAGGCTTAAAAATTTATATAGGATATTAATATAGTACGAAAAAGGCTATAATTAATAGGTATGGGTTGCCATTACAATGATAATTACGAATCTTTTATTTGTTTTATAAATTGCTTTGTAAGAATATTTACGTCTATATTGAGGTAAGAAATAAGTAAAGGTTAATTATCTTTTTACCGCTATTGAAAGATGATTTTATTAATGGCTTATTAATTTAAATGAAAGGACAGTAAATGAAAATGTTTTTTTTAAATCCAAAAGCTTAAATATGAACGATATAGATATATAAGATAAGAATAATATTAAAATAATACGAACATTTATTATCATAAATGTTATTAAAAGTTTATAAGTAGCGTATCTTGTTATAATCTTTCCTTTCTTATCTATAACCTTTTTAAATAATAAATCGAGAATAAAATAAGGTCATTGCGTATAAAAGAAAACATAATATTATAAGAGTCTTTCACGAATTTTTAAAACGCTTTACTTTTAATATTTCGAAACAATAAGCGAGTAAGCTATATACTTTTACATTTATCTTTTAGATTATTCTTATCGTTTGTTTTCAACCTTTTTATTATGTACAAATTTTTAGTTTTGTTAAATCCTTTTTTTCGAATTGAAAACGTAATATCTAACAATTTAGTAGTAAACAATTCAATGATAAAGTTAAAACTTTTCGTAACATTAAAAGATATCGTTAAAGTAATTAGTTATAAAACCTGGTTTTTATTTAAACAATTATCATTTCACTTGTTTAATATATACGACGTGCTATTTATTTCTCATAGAAAAAAAAAATATTATTATTAAATAAGGTATTATATTATTCATAATATTATATTACTATTTAAAACGAGAATTTACTGCTGGTCCCGCTGGATTTGGTGGATGGCGTCGCCATTTTCAGCGGCTCCAGCAGTGATTATGGGAGTCAGAATTTGGGTACTAGTCAAGTCATATATACTTTACTAGGCTCTCGGCTCGTCCGAACATGCCATCATGTCTTGTGCGTGTTCTTGGCTTGGCACATGAGCCATTTCTGGCTCCAGTACGTCTGTCCCATTTCCTGAACCCTTCCTCCGGTTCTCTCCCTTTGCCACACTTACATGCCTACTTTGGATCTCAGGACCAGGACCCACCAAGGATGGCAGCATTGATTCATAAATGACTGCACTGCCATCTATCTCTCTTCTTTCAAACTGAGTAATAGTCATAGTTACAGTATCGTTCAAAGTGCTTGCCTCCTCGTCACTATGACCACTCCAACTTTACATACCTCCAAACACCAAAATACGGATTTCCTCAAGTGCTTCTCTTCTTTCGAAAACAAGAAAAGGCAATATCCAAGCCTCTGTCAGTTGAGGAGCATGTTAAGTTTTGCATGCGTGCCAAGTCTGTAAAGTACGTCAGACCAAAGCTATCAGAGGGAACTGAGATCAACATTGGCGGGATACTGGGCAAGTGGAAACTGTATGCCCTATGGAAACCTTCACTTTTCAAACCTTTACTTCCCGTTTTTAGCTGATCCATATTTCAGTTTCTGTAAAGAGCTTCTGAAGACAGAAGACTGGCGGACAGTCATCAAGACGATAGAGGTGTTGATTATTATAGATTTCTGCCTACACATATACGAATCAGACAGAGTAAAGGCTCAAGATTCATTGAAGCAGTATTTTTGGCGATTCCAACAGTTATACACTTCCTAAACCGGGAACTTCATGAACCGTAATGATTCTTATTTGGTCTACGCGGTTAGTAATCATATCAACCCAGAGCATGCTCTAATGACTGACTAGTTCATAGTATATGCATGCCGTTCTTGTTCCACTGTACTGCCTTCGTCCTCCCAACACCAATAAACCAGTTCTAGGGGTGGAGGCCCTCCGTTCTATCCTGACTTTCAACATCGCCTACGATCCAGCCATTCAACCTCTCAAAAGGCAACTTGTCCAACTATCAGGCTGCTACTAACTCCTTTGCTACACAGGTGTGCGGCCGGCTGAGCTCATCTGCAACGAGCAAAAAAAGCCTAAAGACGGCACGGTGGAAGAAATCTTTAGTGTAAATAGCGTTTCGTCCATTTGCACTGATTCTCGCTTTATAAACAGCACTGGGCAGGGGGAACTTGACAAGAGTGAAGTCAAAGAGATTACAGATGATGGCAAAGGAGAGGTAGGGGTGAGCAAGAATAGAGGAGAGCAGCAAGGTAAGGATCAAAAATCGTTGGTCCTTTCCCGGCTGCTATTACAAGAGACAGTTGAACATGGAAGACCAGAGGCCCTTTGTTACGAAGACATTCTGCTGATGATAGTGCGTCACCTGGAGTTTGGTCGACCGATCCCGGCGATGGCTATCAAATTCGTTTACCACAAAGGGTGCAACAATAAACCAAGACCGTAAGTTGAGTTATGGGATTCCTCCTTCATGATAATATTAACTGGCATTCGGTACTAATAAGTCTCTAATACTATTTTCTACTTTACTCCAACAAAAAAATTGATCTTCTGTCTGGTGAGCCTGATAATTGGTATAGCTCTTGATAATTGTGCTTTTGATGCTCCAAGCTTAGTTGATGCCTCAAGTGTGATAAAGGTAAAACCATGGGGGCCCATGCAATACATGCCACTGCGATGGAAAGAGTCAATGCGAAGGAAAGCCGTATTCCAACGTATCAAGGGTGCAGAACTTTCAGATGACGAGGCCATGATTTATGCTAAGCTCCGTGATGATATGGGTGAGCAGAGTCTCAATGCCGGGTTCGAGGAGTGATGGACTCCGAAGTTCTGCCAGAGAGGCGTAGGCAATGCTGTGAATGGTATGTGCAAGCTACCTTTGATTATGACAGACATTCTAATCACAGATTACCTAGGCGACGCACCGGATTCGATCCGGGATCAGATGATGCGTCATGATCCCAAGTTTGCTACCTTTCACAGTGCTTACCAAAATCACAACCTTCAATTTGACAGCCAGAACGCATTCCTAGAGGAGGAGAAACAGGTCCAGCTATTCAAACTCTTTGCCCATATCAGTATCTCGCGGGATCCTCGCGCAGTGAGAGACATGATTCCCGAGGATATATGGAGTAATCTCCCACCAGACCCCGAGATCAGCGAACTCGAAGCGCTACGTGCCGAACTCAAGGGCGGCCAGCATCGACTTGTCAGTAACGAGCATAAAGCCAAGATCCGCCAGCTTACCTATACCATCTCTTTGAAACGTACAAATCGCGATAAGCTTATTATCAAGAAATATTACAAAGACTACTTCTATAATGGTCCTACCCGGGACATTGAGCGGCAAGCCTGGGGGGAAGAGAAAGATGAATACGTAAAGCCAAAGCTGTATCTAAACATCCCCAAACGCGCTCGACTGGCTGAGCTGCTGTGCCATCAACCAGAGCATTGGAGCCAAGAACGGATCTCAGAAGCTCGAGTTGAGGTTATTGACCTATACGCAGCTCTTTGTAAGAAAAGAGAGACAATTAAAGGAAAACTGATCCGTGCAAGACAAGGTGATGCACTAGCTCAGCCTAAGCCTGTATCACTACAACAATTGCCTTTGGTTCTAAAGTTGAATCAGTGTCCGGACTGCATAAGGGATGAGAGAATCTCTCACGAGGAGCATTCTTACAAATACTGTCGCAGTACCGTTAGGAATGACCATTTTGATGATCAGCACCTGCCAGTTCATGAGCGTGCGGCTTTGCGTAGAGAGCTTCAGGTTTGCAGACATCCAGATTGTATCAAGGCCGGGGTCAAACTAGGTAATTTGAATGAGTTCAGAAACCATATACAGAAGGTTCATAATGTGCCTCTTCGATCTGTTGATCAGGCACAAGCCCGGCGGATGCAGAAAGTACGGGCTAAAAATCAGGCATGTCAAAGGGTTCCTAGCTAGATGAACTATTTAAGCATATATTATTTCAAATCGCCCGATAGGCTGGCACCAAATCCTTGGGGCACCTATAACTTTCTTCATGATCAATTTGGGCCTATAAACTTCGTTTGATCATTTATTGCAAACGATTCAGAGCATGTCGCTAAAGGAGGCAAGTATTTGCAAAAACAGAATTAACAGGATATATTGCCATTCTGATGACTTGTGGTACGCGCGTTATATCTGGTATAGGGGAGGCAGAAACACATGGCGGACAGAACCATCGCACTGGCAGAAGTGCTTAGCGCTGGCAGAAACGCTCAGCTGGCAGAAAGTGCTTAGCGCTGGCAGAAACAGATTGTCAGAGGCTACAGGTCTGTAGAAAATGTGCCAAAGATCATCGACACGTATGACGAGGACAGAATTGGATGTCCTGGGACAGAAGTGGAGTGGCTGGCGAGCCTTTGCTGGCCTGTACAGGCTTATCGCATCCAGAACTGGCCATGGAGACTTGACCTGGTACCACAGGAGGTTCAAGCACGAAGAACACTACAACTGTTCTTGCGGGAGAATCAAAACGCGAGCCCACTTTGCCTTCTGTAACAGAGCCCTCACAAAACGGTCTAGGTGGCCACAAAGGAACCGCGGACACAACGGAGAACCCGAACCAGAAGGGCTACACGAAAGTCTGTCCCAGGGTTACAGAACATCAATTCATCGACCACCAGGTGTAACTGCGCCTGTTATCACATCTCTGTATTACTTTTACCATCTTTCCTTATGTTTTCTTTTTCTTCCAGCTTATAGCCTTTTAGACGCAAGGCACTAACTGTCAAAGCGAGAGGAGTTCCTCGACGCTATTTGGACCAGATATCACAGAGCACGAGGAATAACATGTGTGCCCTCGAGGTTCGATTTGCAGGTTATAGTGGGAAATAGGGAGTCATACCCCGCTTCCATACAGTAAGGCTTGTATGTTAGCCCCTGAGATAGTCACCTGCACGCCAAATGTCCACAAGGATCTGGAGCCTCGAGCCCCTATGGCGTTAAATCAGGACATCCAATTCTGTTTCAGGACCACTTCTGTCCCAGGACATCCAATTCTGTCCCAGGACCACTTGTGTCCCAGGACATCCAATTCGAACAATACTAAACCAGTCTTGCGTTGGTAAACCTCTGTGTCTGCGCGTGTTGCGACTCCATTATGGGGTTGAATAGGCTGTATATTGCTTACAGCACCAGGCTACATGTAGCAAGTAACAGGTGGTGCCGGGAAAGGAACTAATGGATTGCTTTAGTTATGCAGACGGTTTGAATGAAATTTATTACACCCGGAGGTACTAAACCTATAGGGCACCAGTGCTATTATATATATTTGATGCCTGCATTATGGCATAGTCTCGTCCAGCCCATTCTTTTCCTTGTGGTGATAGATTCTTGGCGGTTAAGGCCATCCCCTATTCGAACTTTGCAGACAGTTGAACTTGAAGACAACTCCTTCAAGTGTTTAGCATCCTATATACAGCAGCTAAAGCATATCCGTCGGGTCAGTTCTCAAACAATGGATGGCGATGTCTTTGTGTTTAATTTTCCTGTTATAGTCTTCCTGTGTGGCTATAGTATACGAAACAGTCGCTCGAACTGCCGCCATGTTAGGCGTCCATCTGTCTGGGTCTGAACTGGTCTTTCGTCCTATGAAGAAATAAAGGCTTGTTGTTGTGCGAAGGGCCAGTCAAGTAGCCTCTCTTGCTTATCTAATCGTCTCTTGCGCTTATCTAATCATACAGGTGGAATGGGAATCGCGCGGATCCATCACCCCTGTACCCTCAATTGATTCTGAGGCCAACCTATCCCAGTCAACCACAGGTTGCCAGGGAGCACCTGCAGCACTGAGTGATTGCGCCCCGCGTTCTGTTGGTCAATATACAGAGCTCTCGCCATGTCCAAAGTGCCGCTCCCATCAAATCATCTAAAGAACCAACATCACACATTCTATATCTATACTGTCGCCGAATCGTGTCGTGGCTTGAGAGCGTCGAGCCCAGCACCTCAACAAGCGCATATCAACAATCGCCTAAGAGCTTGAAACGCAGACGACAACAAATGCCTATGCTGACCGCATCCTCCACCGATCTGAACATCGAAGCCGATGCGACAACCCCTTCTACCAAGAGACCACGACCGAATGACCTTGATGACTTGGATCAAACGCCAAGGTTATGGGGCAAGACGTGGTCAGACTCGGGCAGAATGCTCGAAATGGAAGGCGTCCATTGGGCGGTATGCGATCTCGAGGAAGGTCTAGAGACGGTCGAAGATGATCGGTTTCTCACCGATATGATCCGAAGCTGCCGAGCCGTTGTTGCCGCTCAGCAGCTCCTGCTCGCCGGCCGTATGTTAGCTCGAGAAGTCAGAGCTTCTACCCGGCAATGGGTGCATCCTCTGAATGCCGAGAAGAGGAAACTATGGTCATCCAGACTGAAGGCACATAAGGCGCATGCTAAGATGATTGAGCTCTGCCCGGAGATATTCGGGGGAGATGTTTGAGGGGGGGCGCTGAAAGTTGCGGAGGGCAACCTCAGAGTCCTTCCTTATCACCTGCTACTGTGACATTAGCAACTAAGGCCTGGGATACTCATCGGGATACTCATTGTTGTTCAACACAGTAATGTTTAATGACTGACAATGTGATATGGTTGCCTCAGAGCACAATGGGAATGTGAATGATGCAAGTTAGCTCCAAGTAGTAGCGCGCATAAACGATGCTCAAAAGAAAATGCGGAAGCTGGATTAATGATGATCCAGGTTGCACCGCCACCAGGGCATTCAAGAGGTGGACCTCGACCGATACCTCACTCACCATTGACATCCCAAACCTCCCGAGCCTCCTCACCCACAACGTGCTGTATACGAGCCAGTGCCGCGTGCGCACGGAAGACATCTATCCCTAGGTACCAACATGGATAAGAACGCTTGGCCCCCATCCGGTGCTCTAGCACCGGATACCGAGGCCAGGGCTGGAGTAAACACCGACGACTATGGCGACACATTGTCATTCCTACGGTGTTTCGACACCATTTTCCTCGTAGATGACTCCACCCAGATGGCGCCCTACTGGAGCGCATCACGCCCATCACCGCCAAGTATGACTCGGACGGGATTGACATCTTCTTCCTCAACCACCGGCCCAAGAGCCTCCTGTCGGGGATGAGCTTCCGCCGATCGGGATACCGCAATATCGGCGCCTTCGGCACACACGACTCGACCGACACCAAGGATACCAGCACGGTGAATGGCATCTTCAACCGGGTAAAGCCGGGGGGAAGTGCAACATCGGTGCCCGCCTTTCCAAGGCCCTCAACTGGTACTGCGGCAAGCTCAAGGCTGAGCAGGAGGGCGCGGCGCTGCACCTGATCGTCATCACAGCGGGGCACTTCGACGACGACATCAAGCCGCCCTGGTCAGCGTCGCCAAGATGCTCGACGAGATGGACGTGCCCGAGCACCAGGTCGCCGTGCAGCTCTTCCAGATCGGCCAGCCGAGCCCCGAGGTGCAGCGCACGTTCAAGTATCTGGACGACGAGCTGCACAAGGAGGCGCAGACGCGGACATCGTCGACACGACGACCTGGTCCGGGCAGCCCGGGTCGCTGTCGACGGATGACCTGCTCAAGGTGGTCCTCGGGGCCGTGGTCAAGAAGCTGGACGAGAGGAAGACGGCGCTGAACCTGGACACCTCGGCCCTGGCGAGGCGGTTTGACGGGCGCAGGGGGGACTTGTAGGGTTATTACTTACTCATGGCACTAGCACCCCCCCCCCCTCCCTACCCCTCCCCTAATAAGCCTTCCGGCTGATTGATAGCAAATTACAGAAGCATTCCGAACAGTTCTGAATGCATTATCGGTTTCACAACCCCACTCGCCTGGTTATCGCGGTTCACTGGCCTTGTTTCTTACTTTGCCCCCGAAGCTGACTTTGAGCCCAATCCCTGCGCCCTCTTCGCCAAAGAGTTCGCGCGGTACACCCGATCGCGAAACCTGGCCTACGGATCGCGTGAGTGGCGCGTGCAGCGCACGCGCGCCATCGACCGGGAGCTCGTGTTCCACTATTTCTCACGGGGCGGGGAGGAGGAGGTGCCTTGTGACGTCGACGAGGGCGGCGGCGAGGAGGAGGCGGTCGACGACGAGCTGCGACTGCTGCAGGGCTACCAGGACATGATGAGGGCGTCGGGCGCGCAGCCGGAACCGACGGCAGAGGCGTGCTGGAGCGCCCTGGTCTTCTTGCCGGCTGACATCATCGGCATAATCGACTTCCGCCGTACAGGCCGGACCGCGCGTGCCTCGGTCTCGGTCGGCGAAAGCGTCAAGATCTTCCACAGGGAGGCCAGGGTCGAGAGCGGCATCCTGGCGTCGCTGCATCCGGACTGTGGCGGGGTGGTGCACTACCACTTTCGCTTCGGAAAGGGGCTGCGCGTTAACCCCCCGTGGTGGAACGGGGAGTGCAGGGCGGCCCGGGCGGCTCGCAACCGCGCTCGTCGGTCTGGGTCTCGGTGCCAGGAGGAGGAGCACGCGTTCAAAGCCGCAGTCAGGAGGGCTAAGCGGGCGTTTAATGAAGAGTATGGTGAAACATTCAAAGTGAACTGATGGCTCCAAGCAGCTGGTGCTTGATGTAGTCTAACATCGTGTTGCACTGTATGGAACTACTTTTTCACTCTTTCATGCGGAGTCTAGTATCGCCACCCTCGTCGTCATCCTTGCGCCTCGCGACGACTTTTTGCTTTGAAGCAGTGTTTCCGACGATGCCATTTGCAGTCCAAACCTTACCACTACGAATCTCATGCGGGCCATCATGTACGCATGGGGGCATTACGCAGTCCCTGGCTCGTGTCGTTAGCTCGCAAAAGTATGAGACTTTGGGGCCTGTTTTCGGCGTCATTAGAGGCCAAGTGACCAGCAGGTTGGATGAGAATAGAGGACATAGCGGCATTGATCGTGATGACAAAGCTCAACTTCTGAATTTCTAAGCCGCTTATCTTCTTTTGCTCACCGCTGCTCACTGAGCAGACGTGAGCAGAGTTTGGTCACGTGATCTCCACTTCCTGGTCACGTGCTCGTTGTCCTGTGTTTCTCCTGTGTATATCCTTGCTCCGATTGGCCTCTTCGTAGGTCGCCTTCCTGCCAACGGGCCTGTGGTATTGTTGGTTCGTAACACGTCCGTTTATCCCAGTAGCTCAAAGATGTATTCTGCAAGAACTATCTGCTAAGTATTGATTAAACCTAGAGTTTATAATCCTATAATAACGCGAAGATAACACCCATTATAATAAGAAACGGTGATAACTGTCGAACGTGGTGATTCCCGCATGAAATGAATGGAGGTATAGTTTGCGAGGGGATCAAGGTCGGGCGTCGGGTTCCTGGGCCAAGGTATGTCTTGTTTAGAACAGTGGTAGCGAGTAACGTGTTTTGAGGGAAAGCCTGACTATGACAGGTAGTCAAACAAGTGGCATTGAGTGTTGGTCTAGCTTCGAAAGTAGTCATGCTTGGAGTTTCAGCAAGGTCCGAACTCGAAGTATTGAGAGAGTACGAGGGCAACGCGCTAGCAAGAGGTATCGATTGAAGGCCGCCGCCAAACTCTACAAAGCCAGAAGCTACAGTTGTTCCCAAGTTCAACTCGAAGCTAACAGTCTGTCGAGCAGGTAAAGCAAGGCCGAAGCTGACTGAGGCCAAAGTTAACCATACGGCAAGAAAGACCATGATTGGTCTGGCTTCAGATATGGAAGATGTTGCGACATTCACTCCATTACTGTAGTTGACTCAAGCGATCAAGTGGAGTACGGGGATCGATGCCCTATATGACAGTCTATATAAGCTTAACATGTCGCATAATGGATAAGCTTTCCGGCTATATACATGGTACTGGGCAGACATTGAGAATTGACCTAGGTCCATTTTCAGCCATCCTTAGAAAGGCTATGGTGGTAAGGGCAAAACTCGGATGATCCACTTTGTTGCTGGGAATCTGTTTTGATGTCATTAACGGATAGGGTACCGCAAGGATGATAGAAGCGGAAATCCGACGTGCAAGTAAGCCCGATGGTGGTCGGGACGGGTCCATAATGAGTGGCCGAACGGCTCTAAACGTGTCCCCTCGTTTTGGCACAGTAGGACCCGCCAATCCGCTTCACTGGTGATCTCTCAGCTCGTCGTCCAGGCACCTTGCTCGCGCCCGAGGTTACTCGTGACGCTGTTGGATATCGTACCAGGCTGAGGCTTTCGGTGGTGAATGCGCTGATAGGCTTAGCTTCATGGCATTCACCTGGCGCCACTATCAGATGATTATCTGGTCACCCTGGCGCCATTATCGTACGACTATCTGGTCACCCTGATGGCACACCTGTACATATATTTGGGGGATTCTCTCCCAGAGATCTTCTTCTCTTCCCTTCTAATATAGAACGGTTTGAAATCTCACAGACGCAATAGGTGTAGACAACAGCCAACCACGCCTTGACGCTGGTCCATGGGTAACGCTCCACCAGGAAGGAGAGACCCTCGGATGAGGTAGAATAGATGTGCTACGAGTAGGCTGGGCAATCCCTCTCGCTCGGCCTTGACTATGGTGTGGTTGACAGCATACTGCGATATGGAATATCAACCAATGGATGCTGGCATTGACATTCATGCACTTTGATTCGTATGATGGCCTGTCAGCCACAGGCTTGGCTACAACTTGAAGACGGGGGCTTTTAATATAAGTACGCATCACAATAGCGAGGAAATAACAAACAAGCGTTTTTGGAGGAGTAATAAACTCACTTCCCCCCCAAGAAAGAAACCCGGGTTCGAACCCCGGCGAGCATAAGATCTTACAGACAAAACATTGTCCAGGGGTGGCTGTTCAGTTGCCTCACTTTTTCTCCCAGCCCGCAAAGTGTCAGATTAAAGCCTGCAGGCAGACACCTATGATCCAGTTCCTGCCTATGATCCAATTCTCGCAACGATTGAGCCTGTTCCCAATTTTAGGCCGTCGTAGTTTTTGTGCTCCTGTCCACTTCAAGATCCCTCCCGAGCAAGCCTTGGATCATGTCGATCAAGCTTTGCGTAAAGGCATCCACCTGGCCAGGGGATGTGTTGCACAGCAAGGAGGCCAAAAGTTTGCAAATCTGCTGTATTGGTGTTGTTGTTGTTGTTGTTGTTGGAAGGTTTAGTTTAGTTTAGTTTAGTTTATTTAACGCCGTAGGGGCTCTAGGCTCCAGATCCTTGTGGACGTTTGGCGTGCAATTGTTGTTGAAAGGTCTGGTGGTAGCAGCACCATTTCCTGGCCTATAGATCTAGCAGAAGTGGCTCTAAGCATCCACACTGGCACAAAGACTATCCCGAACTCTACGCATTATGTTATAGGGCTTGCAAAGGCTTGAGACTCCTGATTACGAGACCCCACCATCGCAGCTACCGATATCAGCATCGCCAGCCTTTCTGATGCCCAAACTGTCAACACTGCCAGCTGTACTATCCTCGCGGGGGGTAGTGATATGGTAACCCATATGTAAGAAGCTTGACCTTGAAAGCCCGGCCAGGCGGCCTCAGAGAGCGACCCGGGAATACCAAATGTGTAGCATCTTGATGACTCAAGAAGAAACCCCACAATTATCAGAGTATAGAAGTAGACATACCCTGACTTTCTTTCTGCGACTTGAGCCAAGCGAGTAGCGAAAGGTCTTAATAAGACGTATCAAGTTAGGGACAGAAAAAAGGACTGTCTAAGGAGTTCGCGGTAGTGCTTTTGGTTAGATATTTGCCCTAGTTAATCCAAGTGGTTTAGAAACTAAATGACTTAACCATGCCAATCATGGATGTAGTACTTTGCCAGCGGACAAAGGAGAACGCTGAAGAACTATAGTCTGATGACCGTGGGCTGCTCTGCTATTCGGATGGCGAGCGGAGCAGCAGCAAAGACATCTCTGCCAGTTCAAGCAAGGGTATCTTAAATGATAATGACGCCGAGAAATCGCTTGACTAAATACACCTAGTTACTGCAATAGCTAAACATCGCTGGTGGATGACGGGTGCATGTCTTAGGAAGAAGCCAATCTAGCAGCTCATCACAGCACCATCATATGCCATTGCACAAGACGAAACATAGAAAACTCGACAATATTAACTAGCTTTCATCTTTTTGGCCCTTGATTAACCCACGTTCTTGCTCTCGGACACTGAAGCAACGAATGCGCAAGGGCCGGTCGTGCTCCGAGTATGACTATCTACCCACCGCCAAGAATTGCGACTTTATGTATTACCTTCTACTGGTCCAATTAGCCCTTCCATTAACCGCTTGGTACATCCTTCCGTTAGTATTTCTGGCAATGTCCTGCCATAGTATAGCGTACTGCAGTCATTCTAATATAAGCTGATGAGACGTCCGCTGCGGCTTCATATCAGCACAAGACCTAGATACTTCATGGAAGAACTCGTCAGGTCTGACAAATACACGGACTGTCCGTATCAGAAGCGCTAGGAGCCATTGGCCGGAAAGGCTGTGATAGAGTTTGTGCGCACTGAACTGGCCCTCACCATGGTGGAGGTGGTCAAGCGACAAGCTGCAGCCTCAACGTCGCGCCAAATAGCAACAAAGCCACACACGCCCGATGCCTATATCAAGGCCAACCCTGAAGGGTGGAGGTCTTATCTGGCAAAGCTAAGGGGAAGGGAAGGAAATAAGTCTCAGGCCATTACATCGACTCTGTATGGTAAACAGAGGCCCAGTCTCTAGCCATTCCTAATCGCGCCAATCTCATTCTAGACCTGGAGCTTGCTCAGACAGGCGAATGTAGGGGATGGCATATCTGCACAGCGGACAGGCAGGGCGACTCTCGGCGACTGGTTGGAAAGAAGAACATCTGCCGCCTGCGACTGCAGCATTGGGCCCGGCAGTCACGGATCTAGAGGTACCTCAGACAGACCTCGGTCCTGGAGGAAGAGACTCGACAGTCACAGGTCTGGAGATGTCTCGAACAGAACTCGGTGCTGGAGCAAGAAACTCGACAGTCACGGGTCTGGAGATGCCTCGAACAGATCCCGATGCTGGAGCACAGGATGAACTCCTCAATTCCTTAACTCCTATCACACACTCTTACCAAAAACAACTATTTTTCTTGGCGCCCCGCTGTTAGGGCGCAACCTCTATATCTGCACTAAAATAGACATTTGTTTCAGTACCTGACTATCCTTGCCAAGGCGCAGAAATTTTTTCTCACAAGCTGGATGGCACCCTTCCACGACAGGCCCCCAAACACACCAGTGGCCGTCCCAAAGACGACTATTAGCGGCGTGTTCAAATCCCCAGTCCCTAAAAGAACACATGACCCGGCAACCCCAAGCAGGCTCCGCCAGGCACTGCTTGACGACATCAACAGCAGCCCGTCACAGGTCTCTGAAGCTGACTTCACTACTGTTTCCCCTCTGAAAAGAAAATCCCGAAATATCAATAATAGCAGCACCATTGATATAGAATCACCTCAGTCAAACGAAATCCTTACAGACCAAGTCATTAGAGGTGATACAAGGAACAAAATCTCTTCTTCAGAGTGCCAGGACCAAGTTGCCAAAATACTGGCTAAAGACAAGCATCTCTATAAAGCCAG